ACTGGCAGCAAAGATGGAGAGGCCAAACCCAGATTCCTTGCCGTCACAACACTGGAGGATGTTCAGGCCGTGCGCTGTGCTGAGTTCCATCCCTCGGGCCGTTTCTACGCCGTGGGATCCAACTCCAAGACGCTGCGGATCTGCAGTTACCCCAAACTTTCAGAGCTTAGGTTGGTTACGATGAGAGGTCTGTGGCAAAGGGCCAGTGATGCGTAGACTCTCTTCTGCTTTCTGCTTTTGTAGGATTTTGAGCCGTGACATTCGTTAGTTTTTTATTAGAGTTGTAGATGAATTGTGAAGGTCTGGAGGGAAGAAAGAATTTGACAGACATTGATATCAATATCAATGATTATATCAATGACATTGATATAAAATACATGTGAGATTTTTAGGTTCTAGCTCAAAAAAAAAAAATAATAATGCGTGCGTGCGTGCGTGCGTGCGTGCGTGCGTGCGTGCGTGCGTGCGTGCGTGCGTGCGTGCGTGCGTGCGTGCGTGCGTGCGTGCGTGCGTGCGTGCGTGCGTGCGTGCGTGCGTGCGTGCGTGCGTGCGTGCGTGCGTGCGTGCGTGCGTGCGTGCGTGCGTGCGTGCGTGCGTGCGTGCGTGCGTGCGTGCGTGCGTGCGTGCGTGCGTGCGTGCGTGCGTGCGTGCGTGCGTGCGTGCGTGCGTGCGTGCGTGCGTGCGTGCGTGCGTGCGTGCGTGCGTGCGTGCGTGCGTGCGTGCGTGCGTGCGTGCGTGCGTGCGTGCGTGCGTGCGTGCGTGCGTGCGTGCGTGCGTGCGTGCGTGCGTGCGTGCGTGCGTGCGTGCGTGCGTGCGTGCGTGCGTGCGTGCGTGCGTGCGTGCGTGCGTGCGTGCGTGCGTGCGTGCGTGCGTGCGTGCGTGCGTGCGTGCGTGCGTGCGTGCGTGCGTGCGTGCGTGCGTGCGTGCGTGCGTGCGTGCGTGCGTGCGTGCGTGCGTGCGTGCGTGCGTGCGTGCGTGCGTGCGTGCGTGCGTGCGTGCGTGCGTGCGTGCGTGCGTGCGTGCGTGCGTGCGTGCGTGCGTGCGTGCGTGCGTGCGTGCGTGCGTGCGTGCGTGCGTGCGTGCGTGCGTGCGTGCGTGCGTGCGTGCGTGCGTGCGTGCGTGCGTGCGTGCGTGCGTGCGTGCGTGCGTGCGTGCGTGCGTGCGTGCGTGCGTGCGTGCGTGCGTGCGTGCGTGCGTGCGTGCGTGCGTGCGTGCGTGCGTGCGTGCGTGCGTGCGTGCGTGCGTGCGTGCGTGCGTGCGTGCGTGCGTGCGTGCGTGCGTGCGTGCGTGCGTGCGTGCGTGCGTGCGTGCGTGCGTGCGTGCGTGCGTGCGTGCGTGCGTGCGTGCGTGCGTGCGTGCGTGCGTGCGTGCGTGCGTGCGTGCGTGCGTGCGTGCGTGCGTGCGTGCGTGCGTGCGTGCGTGCGTGCGTGCGTGCGTGCGTGCGTGCGTGCGTGCGTGCGTGCGTGCGTGCGTGCGTGCGTGCGTGCGTGCGTGCGTGCGTGCGTGCGTGCGTGCGTGCGTGCGTGCGTGCGTGCGTGCGTGCGTGCGTGCGTGCGTGCGTGCGTGCGTGCGTGCGTGCGTGCGTGCGTGCGTGCGTGCGTGCGTGCGTGCGTGCGTGCGTGCGTGCGTGCGTGCGTGCGTGCGTGCGTGCGTGCGTGCGTGCGTGCGTGCGTGCGTGCGTGCGTGCGTGCGTGCGTGCGTGCGTGCGTGCGTGCGTGCGTGCGTGCGTGCGTGCGTGCGTGCGTGCGTGCGTGCGTGCGTGCGTGCGTGCGTGCGTGCGTGCGTGCGTGCGTGCGTGCGTGCGTGCGTGCGTGCGTGCGTGCGTGCGTGCGTGCGTGCGTGCGTGCGTGCGTGCGTGCGTGCGTGCGTGCGTGCGTGCGTGCGTGCGTGCGTGCGTGCGTGCGTGCGTGCGTGCGTGCGAATAATAATAATAATAATAAAGTCATGTATATGATATAGGTGTCTGGTTACCTCTCCATCTCTTTTGCTGTGATTTCGCTTCCCTCACCCTTATTTCTTCTTGCTTTTGAACCTCCTCCAATGCTTTCTATTGCTCCCTATTGCTTTGTATTTATTTTGTTTTTTCCAGTCCTTCCTCTGCTTTTCCTTTCTGTTGCATAGGCATGTTTTGCTCTTCTCTGTGTTTTCTCTCTTTCTTTCTTCCTCTTTTCTTTTCTTTCTTTTCTTTTCTTTTGGTTCCCTTTACCAAATTACCCCAAAGACCTTTATTAATATTTCCATTTTTTCTTTTCCTCTTCTTACTCTATATTTATCTGCTTCCATGCCTCCTCCTTTATCATCATCATGCTGTCATCTCGTGCATTATCATATTCCTAGTTTTTTTCTTTTTTTTTTCTTTTGTCTTTCTGAAACCCTATCTTCATGCATATTATTTTTCCCCAACATCATTTTCCTCCCACTTTTAATTCAAACTCTTTTGCTATGTTCCCTTTATCATAACACCTTTGGGAATATGACACCTGGCCAATAGACACCCTTGAGGATAATCAGTGACTGAACATGTTACTGTCTGGCTTGGTATTACCACAGCATCCAGTATCATAGATGTTTGAATATTTTGAAATCATGTTTTATTTTGTATGCATTTAAATTCTTCACACATCCAAACCTGCTGTCCTTGATGGTCATAGGAGTTTTGGAGATGTGGGAAAAAGTCAAAATCTAACATTAACCCATTGCCGACGGGGAAAATGAATAAAAAATGGGGAAATGCTGTGCTCATTTTTTATAATTTTTTGTGAAATGTCTCTACACATAGATGGCTCTGCCTTATCTGACTTCACCTTTCCTTGAATTAGCGGGGAAATGTACTTTTTACTAGTGCTAGTAATATTGATGGTGTTATTTTTATTATAAACATTATAATTACTATAATTTTATAAACATTAGTAACAGCAAAATAAGATAACGTAGAATATTTTCGAAAATTAAAGAAAAGGGTAAATGGGCGAGACAGGCAGTACTCGTAATTGGCTCATTGGTAGTTTTAGTACAAGTGTAGCCATCTATGTGTGAAAACAATCAAACAAGTAAATTCACAGTGGGCATGGCATGTATGTACATGCCATGCCCATCAGGAAAGGGTTAAGCAAAATCATTAATTTTCCTTTTCAGCTGTATAATCTCTGATGTCTGATGAATATTGTATAGTCTGTATTTTGAACAATTTACCTTGCTTAATGAAATTATAAGCTCATGCTGTATTCATTTATAATAGCTTGCTTAATGAAATTATAACATCATGCTGTATTCATTTATAATAGCTTGCAATTTCTGCTAATCACGTTATTTTATTATATAACATCCATTCTCAATGTCTCCCTCTTTCTTTCTTTTTCCTCATTCCATATTTGCATTCTCATCACACAAACATTCTAATGTAAGTCTCCGCAGGGAGGATCACACCACCTACCAACCGACAGTACTCTTCAAGCGCACCAAGCACCACAAAGGCTCCATTTACTGCTTGGCCTGGAGCCCCATGGGAGATCTCATTGCCACCGGCTCCAACGACAAGACGGTCAAGCTCATGAAATTCAACGCGGATTCGTGTAATATGGACGGTAAGTTCCGAAACCTTGACTTCAATTCCTCTGTGGTGGCTTCTTGCATTATGTCATGCTGTACAGTTGTAGATAGTTATGTTCAAGTTTAAGTCTAAGTTAGGAAAGTTATCATTACAAAGAACTTCCCCCCCCCCCCCTCCCCACATCCAAATTTTGTTTGGGAATTAGAAGTGTCACTTTTGCATCTTTTAAGAGAGGGATGGTTATAAATACTAATTGATTAAATGCTCTCCACCAAACAGACTGTGATGAAGATGAAAACTCTCAAAGTAAGCTTATGAGTTTTTACGAATATACAATTTGATTTTCAAGACACTTACTTGTCCTCTTAGCAGTTTACCATAATAGCACTGCATAATCCTAGTTACTTTTATGATTATTTAATTACTAGAAGAGTTGCATTGGTGCAAAACAACAAAGGAACATTTTACCCTTATGCACAAGGAATGGTAGCTGTAGATCGAAAGCATGACACAAGGGCTATGAAACTTTATAGGATTTAGTGTGATAATTCAAGACTGTTTGTACCTCATCATCTCTGAGAAGGAAATATAAGACAGAAAACTTGGCTAGATGTCATGGGCTTTGCTTCCCTGTTATCAGTGGTTATCAGTATATTTTTTTCCTTCCTTTTCTAGGATGTTATTAGTTGTAGTACTGTTCTCTCTTGATGTTTCATTTATCTTTGAGCTTTATGGAGTTATTTGTAAATGGAATTAAAGATGTGATACCATGCTTACCACAGAAAATGGTGTCATATAGCAGTTAGATCCTTGAACATTAGCACATCAGTCACCTTATTTCAGCAAATTTGTGCTGAAACTTCATCACTCTTCCAGTGCAAAGGAAGTGACTGGTTAATATACAGGATTCATGATACTATCCATTTAAAAGTATAAGCACCTTTATGAGTATATTAAAAAAATATTGAACTTAATCTACTTACTGACCAAATTCCAGTCCATATTTTTGTAGCAAAAGTAAATTAGACAAAACAAATAAGAACAAACATAAATGCAGTAAATTAAGGTTTCTGTAAGATATATATATCCAATATCATTCTCTAAGTGTGAAAACACAATTATTGACTGTAAGCCATTGGAAGATAAAGTGCTCAAATAAACAGAGTAATCAATTACTAATGACGGCATGCAGCAGGACATTTCAAGATTCTTGTATCATTGACATACATACTCATTTTTCATTAGCCCATTATGTTTCTGACAAATGCTTGCTGAGATTATTAGAACAGGCACCCACCAAAGGGCTTATTCTCCAGAGCACTGTAGCACCCATCTGCATACCCTCAATATATATTTATATAGTACATGATGATATTGGACACATCTGACTTGGGTTCTTGTTCCCATATGTCACTCTTTAGAGTAATTTGGTTCCAACTTAAGGAAATATTAGATAGACTGCTTTCAAACTCTCTGAAGTGCTAGAGTTAACCTCATTTAGCTCTCCTTGCTCCCAGTTAGTAACCGATTCAGAAAAGCAGGTCTGACCATTAACAGTAAGTAGGCTACTGTAAATGCATGGAGAGCAAAAGAAAATATATGGATAGCAAATCAAACTGAATATATGAACCATTCAGCATCTAAGCTATGGAAGAGGGGACAGGAGTGAAATAAAGGTGATTCTTGTAACAGTTTTGCTTTACCATTTTTCTGTGAGTACTTATTGTTATTGTCACTATTTGTGCTTTTTTTTTTTTTTTTTTTTTTTTGAATGATTATTGTTATTTATTACGATTGTTATTTCTGCTAATAACAGGAATAGTAGACCTATTATGATGATCACCATCAGCAGCAGCATTATTGTCATGATGATGATAATATATATATATTTTTTATTATTGGTGGTAGTAGTTAGTAGTTATTAGTAGTAGGAGCAAGTAGTAGTATTGTTATTATTATTATTATTCTCATAATTATTGTTACTATTATTAGTGTTATCACCATCATTGTTATTATCATTTTTACATATTGTCACTGCTATCATCATTATTATTACCATCATCATTATCTCATCATCATAATTATTATTATTTATTTTTTTTTATTACTATTTTCATCATGATTCTGTTTTTGTTATTGTTACTAGTAGTAGTAGTAGTAGTAGTAGTATTGCTATTGCTATTGTTGTTATTGCTACTGTGATTACTAATGTTATTAATCACTTAAAAATCTAATAAATAGTCTTAACATGTTCCAATAAACTCGTGATATTGAGAAGATGATGGTTTCAGCATTCATACATTTTCATTTTTGAATTGTCACAAAATGATTTTGATTTCCCAGCATAGGTGTAACAGAGAGGTAGACATCTTTGTATTTTTCAAGTATGAATATTATACTGTAGCATATGAAGCTGCATTGTGATTTTTGTATTTTCATTCATTGTTTTTGTACAGCTTTTCAAAATGTTAAGCCATTGGCACCAGGTACTTGCATTGATGATTGGTTTTGTTTCGTTACTTTTGCTTTACACAAAATTAACCTCATAAGTGAATAGTCTCCGTGAAAGAAGTTACTAAGCATACCTGTTCTCACCTGTTTACTCCAGTCAAAGAAGTTTGCATAAGAGGGGTTTGATTTCTGTTGCTGTTATTACCTTATCATAATGATTATAATTGTCATTATTATTCCTGATGATATTAGTAATAGAAACTTAAAGTTCTCTCTTTGACACTTCAAGGAATGGGATAATTGGGTGAAGTAAACGGAATTAATAAAACTGCTGTAGATTGTACATGTATAACATACACTACTGGTGTTAACAGGTTGATATTTTGATGTTCAGTGAGTAATCTCTGCTGTACAGACTGCATTTAGAAGTAGTTTTGCTCTTCTGTACAACTAGAAAGCAAATTTCTCCAGTCTGTATTTCTGTATGTTTCCAACTTTACTGATTTGAGTGTTTGGGTATTTGGGCATAGAGAGAGAGTGAGTGAATGAGTGAATGAATGAATGAGTCTGTGTGTGTGTGTGTGTGTGCGTGCGCGCGCGCGAGAGAGAGAGAGAGAGAGAGTGAGAGTGTGTGTGTGTGTGTGTGTGTGTGTGTGTGTGTGTGTGTGTGTGTGTGTGTGTGTGTGTGTGTGTGTGTGTGTGTGTATTTGTGTGTGTGAGAGTGAGTGTGAGTGTGAGTGTGAGAGTGAGAGTATGTGTGAGTGTGAGAGAGAGAGAGAGAGAGAGTGAGTGTGTGTGTGTGTGTGTGTGTGTGTGTGTGTGTGTGTGTGTGTGTGTGTGTGTGTGTGTGTGTGTGTGTGTGTTTGTGTGTGTGTGTCTGTGTCCATGTCCAAGGAAAGGTAATATTATAAGAGACCACAAAAGAGAGGAGGAGTGAGCAGATGACGTGTGCTTTAGTGCTGGGACCAGTTCTGTATGCGTGATTAGCTAAATAGTATAATTGGTAGTCATAGTATTGCTTGCAAATGTGTATGAATTTTTTAACCATTATTAAGACTATTACGTTATCTTCCAAAAAGCTTGTGTTTCAGTCTGCTTGTGTAGGACTGACCAGCATTTCTGGTTGTCTTTACATCTGTGTGTGAGCATCATACATAGCTGACTGAGTGGAAATGTGGCAGAGTATTAGTTTGGTTTATATTTAATTGTATAATCACAGTTTTTCATATATCAGTCCTTTTATCATTAAATTAATGTGTGTTTATATATTTCATCCAGTTGTATTATGCATCAAGCCAATGGTGGTAATTATTTCATATAATATTTGTTTTTGTAAGAACAAAAAGAGATGTAGTTCAACAGCCATAAGAGTTCAAATTCAAACACATTTATCACAAAAGAGAATGCTACTGCTACCTTTTTTTTCCAGGTCAAGAGATCGAGTTAACAATGCATGACGGCACCGTTAGAGATATGTGTTTCATTGAGGACTCGAGTAACAAATCATCTTTGCTCATTTCGGGAGGCGCTGGGGACTGCAAAATATACGTTACAGATTGTGCAACTGGCACCCCATTCCAGGCTCTCTCAGGACATACAGGTGGGGCTAAAATATGTATTTTTTGTTATGTTTTGTTTTTGGGTTGAGAGTAAAATGAGTGAATAGATTTTCTTTTTATTAAGACATGTATCATTTTCTTGAAAGGATGTATCCAAAGTACTTTTCTTCCTTTTCAGGTCACATTTTATCTCTGTATACATGGGGAGGAGCAATGTTTGTGTCTGGTTCACAAGATCGTACAGTCCGTTTCTGGGACTTGAGAACTAGAGGCTGTGTGAACGTTATCACTCCTGCTGCAACACCTACAAAACCAGTATGTTATGGGCTAGATACACATTGTCTGTGTATGTTCATTTTGCATTTGCTTATATATATATATATGTACCTATTGGTTTCATTCTTTGCACCTAATGTTCTTATCTACACCCCAGGGAGCTCCCGTTGCATCACTCTGTGTAGATCCAAGTGGGCGGCTTCTCGTCACTGGTCATGAAGATTCAGTGTGCTCTCTATATGATGTTCGAGGCTCACGATGCATACAGGCTTTCCGACCGCATTCATCAGATGTGCGATCAATCAGATTCTCTCCATCGGCATATTACCTGCTTACTGCAGGTTATGACAACAAACTTGTCTTGACAGATCTTCAAGGTAAGTGTGATGGTAATCTTGAATATACAAATGCATAGCTGTCTGTTTGTGTAATGTTAACCCCTTAACAACGGGTCATGCCTATAGGCGTGTAAACAAACTGTGGCGTGCAGTTTACATTCACAATCTTCTTATCAGTTGATATGAGTGTTCCATATTTTGTATTTTGGTTTGAGTATCTTTCCAACAGGTTGACATTATGTTTTTACTTTCCAGGTGATTTGACTCTACCGCTCCCAAGCGTGGTTGTAGCTGAACACCAGGACAAGGTTATTTCAGGTCGCTGGCACCCATCGGACTTCTCCTTCATTTCAACTTCTGCTGATAAGATGTGCACATTGTGGGCATTACCACCAGTATAACAAGTTGAGAGAATGTGGCAGTCAAAGAGAATGATTTACCCTACTTTTACCAGTAGAGAAAAGTATGTGGTATGAGGTAATTCACATAGATTGATATTGTGTAAATTTATTAAACCTTGTGATGATGTATCACCTTGAGAAATTCCTCTACCTCATCAAGGCTGGCAGTGTTAACCCAGAAGTCATAGGGTAGTTTATAGATGAATCTCAATTATTGCTGGTAAATTGTCTATGATATACAAAAGATCATGAATGTGGATGATGTTCACAGGCATGGATCAGTCTCCAGATATCTTTGTATGTGGTGATGGTGGCGAGTTAGGATTTATGAAGATATGTTTTTTATATTGTATTTAAAGGGATGTGCAAAAATAATCACATAGATGAATAACATTATATACTTGTTAAGTCTTCACTACTTTTCAAGTTTCTGTTGTAATTAAAAGTATTAATTTATCTCACGACGTAATGTAAACATCTATTTGTGAAGAGGTTTTTTTTTTTTTAGTGAAAAAAAAAAAAAAAAAAAAAGTCTCTCCTTATCAGAAGAAAACATGAATACAATAGCATTAAAGAATACTTAAGTAATGTTGTCATACTTGAATCCACTCCTTATCAGTAAGCTAGTCACAGAAAACTGTGAGTCAGCCATATACGTCATTACCCACAGAAGTGCAGTGTTATGTTATTGCCAAGTCCTTATGATTATTGAATTTATATAGAGTTTTCATGTATATTTAGATGAGAATGTTTGCAATATATTGATATGCAATAATCTTTCAAATGTTTATGCTTAATATTTATGTACTGAATTTTTTTTTTTTTTTAGTATGTATTCTACTTGAAGAGGAAAAAAAAAAAGGATGAATGAACACTGTTGTTGTTCTCTGCAAGGAATGTGTCCTGAATTATATTTAAAAGAAAACCGTTTCTCAGCCTAGTGGAAATGTACCCCCATATTTACTCCAGTTTCTTTATTGCTTAGTACTGAATATTATTTGGGTTCAAAAGCCTGGTACTTAAATTAGATTACTCTTCCTCTTTGTCATCTTGTACGTAGGGGTGATTAATCTGGGTTCTAATTAAATGAACATTATTTATAAACAAATGATGATGATCGCATTAGTTCTTTATAGTAGAGAGAGGTTTTAAAATGGTACAGAATTTCTACCTTGCTTTTTCCTCAAATGGTTGATTAGAAATATGCATATATACAAATATAATACTGTAAAGAAGGATAGCCATACATGGAATTCCATGCATTCTAAGAAGTATTAGCAATGAAGAAATATGGAAACCTTTTATTGATGATGATAATGTTACTAAGGAGCAGAATACAGGCCTCTGAAGTAAAAGCTTAAGGTAATGTGTGTTAAGCTTTAAATATCCCGCTGTCTCATCCCAATCAATGAACAAGCCATGTATATTCTAGTGAGAAGTAGAAAAATACAAAGAGTATGATGCAGAATTTCTCTCTTATCCTAAGCTTCTAATTCCTGTACATAGAATAATGAAATCATTTCTATTCCTGACACTCTTCTTATGCTCTGTTCGGGAGCTCCTTGTCATGTAGCTGTAAGGGTTGAAGATTTTTGTTTTACATGCACACAGGCACACGCTCACACGCGCATGCCCGTGCACAAACACATGCACACTTTCACTCACACCCCCACACACTCACACACACTCACTCACTCACATACTCACACTCACTCACATACTCACACTCACTCACATACTCACACTCACTCACTCACTCACTCACACACACACACGCACATGCACACGCACACGCACACACACGCACACACACACACACACACACACACACACACACACACACACACACACACACACACACACACACACACACACACACACACACACACACACACACACATATGTATTCATACACATATATAATAAAAGTCAAGGGTAAAAATAGAATGAGTCAGTAGATGAAAGAATCCAGGTTTTCATTGTGCGTTGGTGAAAATGATGATCCGTTGGTGTATTGAAGCAGACTGATAAAATACTCAATGTCAGAATTAAGTGTGATAAAGCTTGAGAAGATGAATTGTGGGTTAGCTTTTTAGCAAGAAGGACATTATTTCAGATCAACCTGTTCAAAAAAGAAGTGAATACTCTCATTCCCCAAAGTTAAAGAACCTTCCAATTAATGTCATTTTCAGAATGAGAACTTGATTCAGTTAAGGAATCCTGTGAAAATGATGCGTACAAACTGTTAAGAAGAAAAAAAAAAAGATTGTAAGAAACTAGCTCACAACATCTCTTAAGATCTACTTGGTAACTTACCCAGATACTGTAACCCCGGATAAATTGAAGCAGTGTACTATGTTACTAGAATTTTTTTTTTTCTTAACCCCCAAGTATTCAGAATTTATATTTTGACAAAAGCATGTGTCAGGATGAATATGTACCGATTCTGCTAATTAATTCTTAACGTACATAATTACATGATTATATATGCAATATTTTGATAGTGTCTGCTTCAATGAGCAGTGTTGTTGTACAGCTGTGTCATCTATTAGAATGTGAATGATTATGTAGAACAAATATGTAAAGGAAGTATAGGAATATTGCTATGCATCTTAACAACAGAAAAATATAACCCCGTAATTTCGTCATGATAAAGTTAAATGCATCCTCGCTGCATTGGGCGAGAGTATTTCCAGCTAGTCGTCAGAAGTGGCATCCTGGTTGAAGGGTATTTCAAGATAGGCCTATAAATGCCGAGGAAAGAGGAGTATTGAGTAATGTTGGGATGCTTTGATTTCCCGTACCCATATATGTAAATACTTGATGTTGAGCCTTGAACAGCTTAGTTTAGATACAATTTGTTGGTATATGAAAGTAGCTATCTTTGGCACCATCAACAAAATCTTGTAAGCTATAATCATCATTATGATGTTGAAATTTACGTTTGGGATGAGTTCTCTTAAGTACTTCCTACATCGTCATTGATAAACGTTCTGTGACTAGCAGTTTTCTTTACCTGGAAAATAACATGTAATTAGGTGATGCAGATATTTGTTGGATGGGACCACTGATATGAATTCTTATCAGGTTAGATTAAAAGAGAAGAAAGAATTATATGAGATCCTTTACAAATATTTTTAACCTATAAAGTTTATCCTTTATATTTACACATAGTTTTTTAAGTCTTTGGAAAGGCAAAGTTTAGAGTAGTATATGGTTTAAATATTTTGCATACCAGCCAGTTTTAAAAAAAGAATATATGAAAGAATAGAAAAATTAATTTTTGGGCATATTTCTTGATATGGAAAAATGGTAGGAGGCAAATTATTAAGAAATGTATAACAGATTTAGCATTAACCCTCGTCAAGTGTACTCTTGCCGTTCCTGTTTTGTGTCAACCATGTACTTCATTCTGTCCTGGAATTAATTACTCCTTATATGAAAAGTCTTTTCATACCAACAAGCATGTGCTTTGCATTTAGGGCTGCCTTTCACATATTTTATACGGTAGATATTGAACTTTTTATTTTCATCATTATAAAGCTCAACTATTTAAAATCCTTTAAGTTTTTTTTCTCTCTCTCTCATACTTATTTTTTATGGTGCTTTTGTAGATATTGTGATTTGTAAGTATTTTGTTTATATTATGAACTAAGTTAATATCTACTTAAAGCTATCATATTAAAAAAGTAAAACCAAGATTGAAATTTGAGACACTGTTTTTTAGAGACTAATTTCTGTGTTATTTTTGTTTGTCATGTCTTCCCCTTGACATATCACATCCGATCGCCTTCCTTCGCCATCATACCCTGTACCTTGCAGAGTATGGCACAGCATCCCATGTACTGGACAGTGATGTGATGAGGAACTTTGGCCCAAAGTTTACAAGCCCTATTACCTTTACTCTACAGTCAATAATGAATATACTCAACTGATACTTTACTACTTCAGTGTGTTGTATCCTGTGCTGTGATCCCATTGGCCACTCAAACTTAGAAACACGCGAATTCTCACTGTATGGTATGTTCTACTTGCTGTGAATACCATATTGTATAATAATTTTGTTGTAGTATATTTTTTATGTTACTCACTTTGGCTGATCTTCATATGAGGCTTTCTGTTCAATACTCATTTTCCATGATGATAGCATTTATTTCATGTTCTATGTAGTTCTACTTCATTAAAAACCTTGGTATATGCATTCCAGCAAAATATCATGTCCATCAACCTCTTGAATTGAAGAATTGCTATCATCCACTCTATGCTAAAACTATAAGCTATAGTTTTAAACTGGCAAGCATGGGTCATGTATACTTATTTTACTAAAATACTTCTTGTTTTTTTGTTGCTCACAGGGTAGCTCTTTGGTGATGTGCTCTCCCCTTTCTAATATGCATTTGGTACCTTCTCCTCACCATTGTGCATATACTCAGTGTAATTTAATGAATAAATGTATGAACCTTATTTGCTTGTTTACTTGACCTTTTTAGATTTTTCATGCAGACAGGTGTGAGATTGATTCTTCTTGGAACACATTTATATACCACAAGAACATAGCAAGCTAAGGTAATCCCAGTCATAATAGTAAGTCATATATTTTTTTTCAAATTCTATAAGGCTGTTCCCTCAGATTACCTTAACTGTCTGATTCTCATACATGTTTTGTATTTTGTAACAAGGCATTTTGTGCATTATGTTGTGATTCTCTTCAGGAAAAAAATATGGCTCTGAAGGACTAACACATTAACTATGTTAATCAGCTTTGATAACCCTCTCAGTAACTTATTGCTTGGGACTCATGAGTAATATTAAATGTTACTCTGCAAAGTTACACTGATTAGGCATGGTAGCCTAGCCTGAAAGGAAATAACTGTGTCAACCTTTTGCAATCACAACTCCTCAATACACCAGGGAAAGCAAAAAGAATTGGGTAACCCTTAAAGTCCCAATTACTTCAGATTGTAGATGCTGCGCTATTCATTATCTGCGACTTTCTGTGAGCCCTTCTTTAAGATCTAAATCTTGGCCTTATTTAGCTCCATCTGCCTCCCTTCCTTCCCAAGGTGGGATAATCCAAAGACAAAATACTGAAGTGTTTTATCTCTTCATTTTCAATTTGAATGCTTCTATTTTTTATATATAGCTAATGGTGCAGTAATGCATATATCGGCATGTGCCAATTGCTTGTTCTGTGACTGGATGCCCAAAAAGACATAGCCAAAAGGAGAAAACTCAGTTTCAGCTAGGTGTGTGAATGTCAATTGGAAGTGGAGCAATGGTTCATGACACAGACAGAAGCTGACAAGTGGGAAAACAACTGAATTTGCAGAAGCTGATGTAGTGTGGAAAATGAGGTATGAGCTGAAATACACTTACTGAGCCCATATTTTACTGGTGAAATCCTCTCTGCTGGGTAGTGCTTGTTACCAATATCACTAATATGTAATATCATGACAGCGTTGTGCCATGACTTAATGCTCTGTATATAGACCGCAGTAGTCACCAAGTCCTACTCAAGTGTCTCATCGCTTTGCCATTTTGTGGCAGCTTTGGCTGATAAGGATTGACTTCTTTAATACTTAGTATCAGTGAGACTAGGTTTTGAGAATAGAAAACATTAATGGGCAAAAATTCTTATAAAAAGTTTAATTTCTCTCCATATACTCCTAATGTTTAAATATTCTATACAAGTATCCTTTTAACTGTATGCTTTAAATTGGTATTGTTATTCCTCATTACCATTTTCATTATTATTTTCATTACCCTTATTCTTATTGTTATTATCACTATTATTGTCATCACTATCATTCCACAGAAGGTAACCAATGCAATAGCCAATCAGTTACAGTCCTCTAGTCCTAATAATATGCCATGGTAGGTGACGGCATAACGAGCTCAACCACCTTTGCTAAAGATGTAGTATAGTACCTGGGTGCGTTTGTATTCCAGATCTGTGTGTTGTAAGGGATTTCAGACGTACAGAAGATGTAAAGACATGTAGTTTTCCAGCTTATTTAAAATGTTCACAATCCGATGTGTCATTTGATAAACTACATAAACAAATATGAATCGGGCGATCTTTGTTCGGCAACCAGCCACCGCAAGCTTCAACATGAACATCAATATGAGTTAGTGTACACTTGTTTGTCATCTCAACCCAATTCCGACGAGATATTTATGCGGCATCGCGAGCACTGATGCACGTGTTTTGTGGTTATACATGATAGATCTTGTTCCTCATGTGATCAGATTTTTGCTCCATGCTATTTTTTCACTAGGTTGGTACTGGAACGGGTTTGACAACATACTACCCGTAGGTGGACTTTTTATTTCTATCAGGTGAATTACAGTTTTAATTTAGAGCAGAACCCAAGCTATGTTCCATGTCTTTTTTTCTTTCTTTCTGTGTGTTTTGCATTGCATTTTTGCTGTGATGAGTTTTAGTTTGATCTGACCTGTGT